TTTTCATTTTGCGAAAAGGCTGTCCTTAGGGAACCTAATGGAGTGAAGAAATTGTACTTTGGTTATTTATTCATGCAGTGTGGCTAGTGGGCCCTAAAGGAACTGATGAGACAAACATTTCAGCTATTTGCTTTATGGTAAATGTGTAAAAAGATACTACTGAGGACCACAGAATGGCAATATCAGGGCTCCTGACAACTCTTAACTCTCAGGCACTATGGATGTGCCAAGGTGCCTGAACAGTCTATTATGAGATGAACCACCCCAAGAAAAACCACAACACAAGGAATTGATTACATCAAATGTTGGTCACCAAAATAAGAACATCTTGTTTCAAGCGATCAGCAGTTTCAGAAGAGGCGACTGTAAGACCCAAGACAATGAACAAGACAGGATGGAACTCGGTTTCAAATTAATGTTCAGTCTCATTGAATATTGAACATTGCAGATGAGGCCGAGTCGCAAATGGAGGGTTGTCTCCTTTATACACAATGGCAGCTCTTTGAAATATAACCATTCAATCAGAGTTGACCATAAACACAAGAACATTGGAATTGCCCTGAGGATGGGGAGGGAGGACCATGAAATCAAGCTCTAGGGTCTAGTACCATGTCTCACAGGAGATTAAAAAAATCTCTACAACACTGAAATTGTCTGAGATTCAGACACATCTGCAAGAAATGAATGAAGTTGTATTGCCCTACTAACTTGCTCCTTGTAGTAGCATTAGTTAAATTCATTAGGGATATGTCTTTAACTATTGTCCTTAAATGTACAAAACTACATTCCAAATCTAGCGAAATGTCTTTGTACCTGTATTTGTCTTTCCCCCCTTTTATTAAATTGGTCACACTTTACTTTAAGCCAACAATCCTTCATTACTTGTTTTAGGCATACAGTATATGAGCCTTTTTGGTGATGTATTGTAAGGCTTAAATAGTATGTTACCTAATTTGTTAATGTATGGCTTTAAGTGTTAAAAATGTATTGTATGTCTCCATGTTGGAATCTATCCTGTCTTTATCATACATACCGTAATGTATGAGGATTCTATTGTCTCTCTGCCATTCTGCCAAAGTAGTAGGCCTCAACCATGTCTTTGCCAGAAAGGTACTTCTCCTCTCCCTCACCCCAAGTCCTTACCAGGATTAATATTTCTTGTCCCCTCTGCTTCCATGTCATCCCTTTGTCTTTGCACGCCCAGGCCCTTCAGAGGCTGAACAGGAAGAAGATAAAAAAGGTAGGACAGTGATGATCAAAAAGCAAGTTTAGCTTTTTCACTCACTGGTGTTTTGGTTTTCAAATTCCATACATTGAGGTCAATTGATTTTGATTGGTTGTCCTGAGATTAGAAATATTCTGGGCAATTAATTAAATCAGTTAACCTCATTCTGCCTTCAGGGCAGATCTGAACTCTGGTCAGATTTGAAGATGAAAAACACAAACAAACAAAATGTTCAAGCTATTTTTGATTCAAACAACAGTGGTATAGTATCTGTGTTGTATTCATGTTTAAGGAGATTGTGTAGTATGTATTATTGATGCCCGTTCCCCTGGAATGCACATACCGGGAAATATAAATGTTTATTTTCTTAAGAAATGGTAAGACAGAGGTAAACTGTAATCAATGTACTTCAGCATAAAGATGTTGGTTTACCTTTGATGTCTACATTCTGCTACGTAAAATATAAAAATACAAAAACTCTGATGTGACAAAAAACTTCCTAAAACTCTGAGCCATTCTCCTGTGTGAAAATGTAAAATGCTATTCACATTCAAGGACAAGAATAGTTTGTAAACAATTGTCTGCCCAGTGCATTTTGGATGTTTATTGTCCTGTCATGTGAACAGCAAAGGCATTGGAACCATTTCCAGTACCTCACTTGTGGAAAAGCATGTCATGACTGACATCTGCTGGTAGGGATAAGAAGTCAGCTAAAGCCCAACCTAAATTTAGGTCATGCAAAATAAACAACCTGGCCAGAGATGCAGCAGATGCATAATATGTTAAAGATATATATATACACATGTATATATATATATATATATATATATATATATATATATATATATATATATATATACAGTACCAGTTTCAAGAACTTTGAAAGTTTCTTCAAGTGCAGTCGCAAAAACGATCAAGCGCTATGATGAAACTGGCTGTCATGAGGACCGCCACAGGAAAGGAAGACCCAGAGTTACCTCTGCTGCAGAGGATAAGTGCATTAGAGTTACCAGCTTCAGAAATTGCAGCCCAAATAAATGCTTCACAGTTCAAGTAACAGACACATCTCAACATCAACTGTTCAGAGGGGACTGTGTGAATCAGGCCTTCATGGTCGAATTGCTGCAAAGAAACCACTACTAAAGGACACCAATAAGAGGAAGGGACCTGCTTGGGCCAAGAAACACGAGCAATGGACATTAGACCGATAGAAATTGGAGATTTTTGGTGTCTTTGTGAGACGCGTGTGGGTGATCGGATAATCTCCGCATGTGTATTTCCAACCGTAAAGCATGGAGGAGGAGGTGTTATGGTGTGGGGTTGCTTTGCTGGTGACACTGTCTGTGATTTATTTAGAATTCAAGGCACACTTAACCAGCATGACTACCAAAGCATTCTGCAGCGATACGCCATCCCATCTGGTTTGGACTTAGTGGGACTATCATTTGTTTTTCAACAAGACAATGACCCAACACACCTCCAGGCTGTGTAAGGGCTATTTGACCAAAAAGGAGAGTGATAGAGTGCTGCATCAGATGACCTGGCCTCCACAATCCCCCAACCTCAACCCAATTGAGATAGTTTGGGATGAGTCAGACAGCAGAGTGAAGGAAAAGCATCCAACAAGTGCTCAGCATATGTGTGAACTCCTTCAAGACTGTTGGAAAAGCTTTCCAGGTGAAGCTGTTTGAGAGAATCAAGGCAAAGGGTGGCTATTTGAAGAATCTCAAATATAAAATATATTTTGATTTGTTTAACACTTTTTCGGTTACTACATGATTCCATATGTGTTATTTCATAGTTTTGATGTCTTCACTATTATTCTACAATGTAAAAAATAGTACAAATAAAGAAAAACCCTTGAATGAGTAGGTGCGTCCAAACTTTTGACTGGTACTGGATATATATATACAGTATATATAAACTCAGCAAAAAATTAAACGTCCCTTTTTCAGTACCCTGTCTTTCAAAGATAATTTGTAAAAATCCAACTAACTTCACAGATCTTCATTGTAAAGGGTTTAAACACTGTTTCCCATGCTTGTTCAATGAACCATAAACAATTAATGAACATGCACCTGTGGAACAGTCGTTAAGACACTAACAGCTAATGAAGGTCACAGTTATGAAAACTTAGGACACTAAAGAGGCCTTTCTACTGACTCTGAAAAACACCAAAAGAAAGATGCCCAGGGTCCCTGCTCATCTGCGTGAACATGCCTTAGGCATGCTGCAAGGAGGCATGAGGACTGCAGATGTGGCCAGGGCAATGACGCCTAAGACAGCGCTACAGGGAGACAGGACGGACATCTGATCGTCCCCGCAGTGGCAGACCACGTGTAACAACACCTGCACAGGTACATCCGAACATCACACCTGCGGGACAGGTACAGGATGGCAACAACAACTGCCCGAGTTACACCAGGAACGCAAAATCTCGCCATCATTACTAAGACTGTCCGCAATAGGCTGAGAGAGGCTGGACTAAGGCCTCGTTTGGGTGTAGGGTCTGATCAGAGCCTGAAGGTAAGGAGGTGCCATTCCCCTCAGCTCCGTAGGCAAGCACCATGGTCTTGTAGTAGATGCAAGCCTCAACTGGAAGCCAGTGGAGTGTGCGGAGGAGCCGGGTGACATGAGAGAACTTGGAAAGGTTGAACACCAGACGGGCTGCAGCGTTCTGGATAAGTTGTAGGGATTTAATGGCACAGGCAGGGAGCCCAGCCAACAGCGAGTTGCAGTAATCGAGACGGGAGATGACAAGTGCCTGGATTAGGACCTGTGCCGCTTTCTGTGTAAGGCAGGGTCATACTCTGCGAATGTTGTAGAGCATGAACCTGCAGGATCGGGTCACCACTTTGATGTTAGCGGAGAACGACAGGGTGTCCCCCAGGGTCACGCCAAGGTTCTTTGCACTCTGGGAGGAGGACACAATGGAGTTGTCAACCGTGATGGCGAGATCATGGAGCGGGCAGTCCTTCCCCAGGAGGAAGAGCAGCTCCGTCTTGCCGAGGTTCAGCTTGAGGTGGTGATCCGACATCCACACTGATATGTCTGCCAGACATGCAGAGATGCGATTCGCCACCTGGTTATCAGAAGGGGGAAAGGAGAAAATGAATTGTGTGTTGTCTGCGTAGCAATGATAGGAGAGACCATGTGAGGATATGACAGAGCCAAGTGACTTGGTGTATAGAGAGAATAGGAGAGGGCCTAGAACTGAGCCCTGGGGGACACCAGTGATGAGAGCACGTGGTGCGGAGACAGATTCTCGCCACGCCACCTGGTAGGAGCGACCTGTCAGGTAGGACGCAATCCAAGAGTGAGCAGCGCTGGAGATGCCTAACTCGGAGAGGGTGGAGAGGAGGATCTGATGGTTCACAGTATCAAAGGCAGCAGATAGGTCTAGAAGGATAAGAGCAGAGGAGAGAGAGTTAGCTTTAGCAGTGCGGAGAGCCTCCGTGACACAGAGAAGAGCAGTCTCAGTTGAATGACCAGTCTTGAAACCTGACTGGTTTGGATCAAGAAGGTCATTCTGAGAGAGATAGCAGGAGAGTTGGCTATAGACGGCACGCTCAAGAGTTTTGGAGAGAAAAGAAAGAGGGGATACTGGTCTGTAGTTGTTGACATCGGAGGGATCGAGTGTAGGTTTTTAATAATTGATCAATTACATTTTTGTGCAGTTCATGTTTTTATTCATTGGTTGGATTTATGTTTTTGTTTAACATTTGTTGGGGCTTAATCAGACTTATTTTTCTCTTGCTTCTCATCTTTTCTCCAGCTGGCATCAAGAAGAGGTCCAAGGTCCCTGGGGTTATGATCACGCAGTTTATAGAGGATCTACCGGAGGGCAAGAGCACCCCAGACTTCCTTCGCAAACCCATCGCTCTAACCATTCAAGAGGGTGAGCCCCCAGGGTGTTATAGGAGATCTTTATCAGGCCTAGGCCCTCTTAGTGTTGGTCTATGTGCTCAGAGGCGTCATGCCCATAGTTGGCACAGGGGCACGTGCCCCCTAAGATTTGTCAAACATTTTTAAATACATTTTTTTTCTCTGTAATACTATAAGTTCCCAATCTCCCAAACTCATAACTAGCTACCAAGAAGCCATTTCAGGCTATCAATCAAGTTAGAGTAGCTAGCTTGTCTAACTATCTTAGCTGGCATGCCTGCTGGCAAGGTTGGTAGACTTTACAAAAGCAAGCAATAACTAAATAAGACTCACATTCCTTTCAATCCTTTTTCACGTTGGGATTGGGGTATTTTATAATGAATCAATGTTTTTGCTCATCCTACAGGTAAATTAGCAATTTTCAAAGCCCATGTGTGTGGGGATCCCAAACCAGAGGTGACATGGGGAAGAGCTAAAGGGGATATGTCAGACACAGAAAGATTTCAAAAGAAATATGATGAACCTACTGGTGAATACACTTTAGAGGTGAGTCTAAACTTGTGCACAAGAGTGTGCATATAACCCATGATTCTGTTCAGTTGTGATTAAACAGTTAATTTATTTCACCAGATTCCCAGAGTGTCTGGAGAGGAGGCAGACACTTACAAATGCTATGCTACCAATGAATATGGCAAGGCTATTTGCACCGCTGCATTGAATGTGATTGAGGGTGAGAATGCTTGTTTCTTTACACTTCATATAACTTACTTTACATTTGACTCATTTAGCAGACGCTCTTATCCAGAGCGACTTACAGTTAGTGAGTGCATACATTTTCATACTGGCCCCCCGTGGGAAACGAACCCACAACCCTGGCGTTGCAAGCGCCAAGCTCTACCAACTGAGCTACAGTTGAGTCTTTGTATTTGGTGCTAATCCTAAACATCTGTTATTAGTTGGATTCAAGAAGCAGAAGGCCATGGAGCAGTTAGAAGACATAGGTGGGTCTTTTCATTCATTCATCCATCCATCCATGATAAAAGTAAGAAACCTACAAAAGAGGCAGAGTATTTGGAGGAGATGTGTCAAACCGTGGCCTAATATTCTGACCTGCTCTCTAAAAAAACAGCATTGCTTATGGAAACCATTTATTAATTATGAAAAGCACATTTAATAATTGCATTTATGTGTTTGCTTACCATGTCATCTGGTACTGTTGATCATTAACCAACATGTAAAACTTTTAAAAGAGAAAGAAACGTATGGGAAGTTTGTAGGATGCAGTCATTCAATTGGTTTTGGCGCCAAACATTTGTTTGTTGCTCCACTAGTTTCACCCTGTTAATCATGCTTTTTGGGTATTAATGTTACCACTACAAAGTGCACATATTTTATTATTAGGATCGCTATTCCTATGTTAAGTAATGGTTAGAACTTACCTTTGATTCCTCGTAATTTAAGAGGTGAAATGTTTGTTCCTTTTGTCGTGCTCAGGAAGGGGGCGTATCAACCAGAACTACGTTCGTCCTTGTGTTCGTCCATCCTTTGTGTTGGGTAATGCCCCGTTGGCTAAATCCCAGGGGGAGAGCAATGTGTACCCTGTTTAATTTAATACTTAGGCATGGTTCTCCACTAATAATTTAAGTGTGTATTTATGGTAATTGTGTGCTTGTATTACCTGAATGTGTTTTTGTGGCCCTCTCATGGGCCACAAAATTAAAAAAAAATAATTCCATTATTTGTTAATTTGTTGCAGTGGTAGGCTTATATTGAAATGTGAGGCCTTAATGGAAACATATGTAAGCTCTGTCATTCCTCTTGCAGCCATTCAGGGGACAGATTGCTACATGGCTATTATCGGGCATTATTAAGCCCTTAAAATCTTGGTTTTGACTTTGGTTTACTTATTATTTGATTTCTGTCCAGTTTATTTTCCTGTCTGTTCATCGTCCTGTTTATTGTTTTGTATTAACGTCATGTAGCCCAAAGCCATTCAAACGCGTTTGTCTTTCAACTTCCAGCTCAGTGACACATGCAAAACCATTGTTAAATATGAACTAGATGGTAATTTTACATGAAGTAAAATTGTGGTACTTGCTTTAGCTTTTGAAAATTATTTTTGTGGTAGTGGAAGAAGTGTTCAGATTTTGTATTTGAAAAGCAGAGAAGAAGACCAGGATTTTATACACTAGCTCTGGAACGGCTGGGGGTCCCTGAGGAGAGATTTGTGAACTACTGTGTCTCAGTTGACACAAGTCCATATTGTGTGATTCTTTCACAAGACTCTGACACTGGCCATAGTCATGCGTAGCATATAATGGCACAATTACACAAAAAGAGCTGTGCGCAAACCACACCCAAAAATATTAGAATGAACCGCCGCCCCTACATTTTAATTATCACTCAGAGCAAAGAATCCATTTGAGAACAGCAAAGAACTATTGAAGGGCTCAAAGGGTTATTAGAGTCAGTATGATTCCACATTCTTCCCAAAGAACCCTTGAGGAGCCCTCTTTTCTTTGTGTATACAGTGCATTCGGAAAGTATTCAAACCCCTTGAATTTTTGCATTTTGTTATGTTACAGCCTTATTCTAAAATGGATTTCATTGTTAAAAAATCCTCATCAATCTACATGCAATACCCCATAATGACAAAGTGAAAACAGGTTTTTAGACATTTTTGCAAATGTATTAACATTTAAAAACAGAAATACTTTATTTACATAAGTATTCAGACCGTTTGCTATGAGACTCGAAATTGAGCTCAAGTGCATCAATTTTCCATTGATCATCCTTGATATGTTTCTATAACTTGATTGGAGTCCACCTGTGGTAAATTCAATTGATTGGACATGATTTGGAAAGGCACACACCTGTCTATAGAAGGTCCCACAGTTGACAGTGCATGTCAGAGCAAAAACCAAGCCATGAGGTCAAAGGAATTGTCCTTAAACCTCCGAGACAGATCTGGGGAAGGGTACCAAAAAATGTCCGCGGATTTGAAGGTCCCCAAGAACACAGTGGCCTCCATCATTCTTACATGGAAGAAGTTTGGAACCATCAAGACTCTTCCTAGAGCTCAGCCAACGGAGAAGGGCCTTGGTCAGGGAGGTGACCAAGAACCCGACGGTCACTCTGACAGAGCTCCAGAGTTAATCTGTGGAGATGGGAGAAACTTCCAGAAGGACAACCATCTCTGCAGCACTCCACCAATCAGGCCTTTATAATAGTCGTGGTCAAAGGTTTTGAGAATGACACAAGTATTGGTCTTCACAAAGTTCGCTGCTTCAGTGTTATGAGATATTTTTGTCAGATGTTACTATGGTATACTGAAGTAAAATTACAAGCATTCCATAAGTGTCAAAGGCTTTTATTGACAATTACATTACCTTTATGCAAAGAGTCAATATTTGCAGTGTTGACCCTTCTTTTTCTAGACCTCTGCAATCCGCCCTGGCATGCTGTCAATTCACTTTTTGGCCACATCCTGACTGATGGCAGCCCATTCTTGCATAATCAATGCTTGGAGTTTGTCAGAATTTGTGGGTTTTTGTTTGTCCACCCGCCTCTTGATGATTGACCAAAGTTCTCAATGGGATTAAGGGGAGTTTCCTGGCCATGGACCCAAAATGTCGATGTTTTGTTCCCCAAGCCACTTAGTTATCACTTTTGCCTTATGGCAAGGTGCTCCTTCATGCTGGAAAAGGCATTGGTTGTCACCAAACTGTTCTTGGATGGTTGAGAGAAGTTGCTCTCAGAGGATGTGTTGGTACCATTCTTTATTCGTGGCTGTGTTCTTAGGAAAAATTGTGAGTGAGCCCACTCCCTTGGCTGAGAAGCAACCCCACACATGAATGGTCTCAGGATGTTTTACTGTTGGCATGACACAGGACTGATGGTAGCGCTCACCTTGTCTTCTCCGGACAAGGTGTTTTCCGGATGCCCCAAACAATCGGAATGGGGATTCATCAGAGAAAATGACTTTACCCCAGTCCTCAGCAGTCCAATCCCTGTACCTTTTGCAGAATATCAGTCTGCCCTGATGTTTTTCCTGGAGAGAAGTGGCTTCTTTGCTGCCCTTCTTGACACCAGGCCATCCTCCAAAAGTCTTTGCCTCACTGTGCGTGCAGATGCACTCACACCTGCCTGCTGCCATTCCTGAGCAAGCTCTGCACTGGTGGTGCCCCGATCCCGCAGCTGAATCAACTTTAGGAGACGGTCCTGGCGCTTGCTGGATTTTTCTTGGGTGCCCTGACGCCTTCTTCACAACAATTCAACCTCTCTTCTTGAAGTTCTTGATGATCCGATAAATGGTTAATTTAGGTGCAATCTTACTAGCAGCAATATCCTTGCCTGTGAAGCCCTTTTTGTGCAAAGCAATGATGACGGCACGTGTTTCCTTGCAGGTAACCATGGTTAACAGAGGAAGAACGATGATTTCAAGCGCCACCCTCCTTTTACAGCTTCCAGTCTGTTATTCTAACTCAATCAGCATGACAGAGTGATCTCCAGCCTTGTCCTCGTCAACACTCTCACCTGTGTTAATGAGAGAAGCACTGACATGATGGCAGCTGGTCCTTTTGTGGCAGGGCTGAAATGCAGTGGAAATGGTTTTTGGGGATTAAGTTCATTTTCATGGCAAAGAGGGACTTTGCAATTAATTGCAATTCATCTGATCACTCTTCATGACATTCTGGAGTATATGCAAATTGCCATCATCAAAACTGAGGCAGCAGACTTTGTGAAAATTTGTATTTGTGTCATTCTCAAAACTTTTCACCACGACAGAAGCCACTCCTCAGTAAAAGGCACATGACAGCCCGCTTGGAGTTTGTCAAAAGGCATCTAAAGGACTCAGACCATGAGAAACAAGATTCTCTGGTCTGATGAAACAAAGATTGAACTCTTTGGCCTGAATGCAAAGCGTCACGTCTGGAGGAAACCTGGCACCATCCCTATGGTGTAGCATGGTGGTGGCAGCATCATGCTGTGAGGATATTTTTCAGCGGCAGGGACTGGGAGACTAGTCAGGATCGAGGAAAAGATTAACGGAGCCAAGTACAGGGAGATCCTTGATGAAACCTGCTCCAGAGCGCTCAGGACCTCAGACTGGGGCGAAGGTTCACCTTCCAACAGGACAATGACCCTAAGCACACAGCCAAGACAACGCAGGAGTGGCTTCGGGACAAGTCTCTGAATGTCCTTGAGTGGCCCAGCCGGAGCCTGGACTTGAACCCAATCTAACATCTCTGGAGAGACCTGAAAATAGCTGTGCAGCGACGCTCCCCATCCAACCTGACCGAGCTTGACAGGCTCTGCGGAGAAGAAGGGTAGAAAATCCCCAAATACAGGTGTGCCAAGCTTGTAGCATCATACCCAAGAAGACTTGAGGCTGTAATCGCTGCCAAAGGTGCTTCAACAAAGTACTGAGTAAAGGGTCTGAATACTTATGTAAAGGTCATATTTCAGTTGTTTATTTTTAATAAATTCGCAAACATTTCTAAAAACCTGTTTTTGCGTCGTCATTAGGGGGTATTGTGTGTAGATGAAGGGGAAAAACAATCCATTTTAGAATAAGGCTGTAACGTAACAAAATGTAGAAAATATCAAGGGGTCTGAATACTTTCCCGAAAGCACTGTATATACTTTGTACATATTGTACATACATTTGCTACTGCTTATTTACCTACATCACAGTAAAAAGTAACCGCCTCACCATGGGCATTGCACAACTACAATGGGGCATTGAGAAAACAGTACGCTTTTTATCTGCTACATTGGAATCGTTACTTTTTGCTGCCTTGAGCAGAATGAGACATTTTATCCTGTTCTCGGGCGTGAGCTGCATGTTGAAATTTTGAAAATAGAACCAAAGCATAATCTCACATAGCCGGCGCTCTTATGCCTGGTTTCATTTAAATTAATATGATGGTATCCTGCTCTGAAAACATGAGTCCGGTTTAGCTGGCCTGTTACCATCTAGTTTCCTCCTTACTGAACACTCCACCACCAATAGCACCACTTTTTGACATTTGGATATATAGACGATCTATAGATGTTCAAACTATCAAACTCTGGGTAGTGAGTAGTTGGTTGAATAGTTTGTTGACAGTTACTTGAACATCTATTTGGGACTATCCAAATAACGTGTTATGAGAAGCAGATATTTAATCTGACTACCCACTGGGCACAGGCGTCAGTTCAATGTCTAGTTTGATTTACATTTGGTTGAGTTGTCAGCTACTGTGAATTCAACATGAAATCCAAAAACAAATTCACCATGCCATTGGAGTTAATTTAGGTTAAAAGTTGGGTGAAAAAAAGACAAAATTCCCTTACATTGATGACTTTTTGCAAATCCAATCAGTTTTTCACATTGATTCAATGTCATCACATTGATTTATTTTGTTAAAATTATGTAACAACGTTGATTCAACCAGTTTTTGCCCAGTGGGTATTCTGCAGTGGAGGCTAATGGGAAGAGCTATAGGAGGACAGGCACATTGTAATGGCTGGAATGGCATAAATAGAACGGAGTCAAACGTGGTTTCCATGTGTTTGAGGAGTTTTATACTGTTCCATTTATTCCATTCCAGCCATTACAATGATCCCCTCCTATAGCTTCTCCCACCAGACTCCACTGGTATTCTGTCACTTTACATTAAGTTGGGTAACATTGAGTGTCCTTTATTTTGTTTAGGTTCAGTAGATCCAGCAGAGTTCAGGAAATTGCTCAGAAAAAGGTAAGATATGAGATGATGATTCATGATATCATGATATCACTAACCAGATCCTTCTATTGACATTACATGTATTTGTAAACAGGGACCTCTGTGCCTGACAAAACAGTGCGATGGGATGACCACAATGAAAATGGGGAGACTAAGATCAGAGGAGGCTCCTCAGAGGAGGAAGGGAAGACCTTCCTACTCGGTGAATTTCATAAAAATAAAAATCATTTTTAGATAAAACTATACTAAATATATTCACATGTCACCAAATAATTGATTAAAACACACTGTTTTGCAATGAAGTTCTACAGTAGCCTCAGTAGCACTCTGTAGGGTAGCACCATTGTGTAGCCGGAGGACAGCTAGCTTCTGTCCTCTTCTGAGTACATTGACTTCAATACAAAACCTATGAGGCTCATGGATCTCACCCCCTTCCATAGACTTCCACAGTAACCTATCAGAGCTCTTGCAGCATGAACTGACATGTTGTCCACCCGATCAAAGGATCAGAGAATGAATCAAGTACTGAAAGAATAAACTACAGCTAGCTAGCACTGCAGTGCATAAAATGTGGTGAGTAGTTGACTCAAAGAGAGAGAAAGACAATAGTTGAACAGTTTTGAACAAATTAATTTATTCCAAAATTAAGGAGAAATGAGAGAGAGAGCTAGCTATATTTCGTAGTATAATTTCTTTCACTTTCACTTACTTAGCTAGTGTCAAATGGAGCTAGTTTAGCCTACTCAAACACCCAGCTCAAACAGAGAGAGATGCTATGTTAGCTAGCTGGCTATGCTATCCAACACTGGAACTCTTCCATGTCAAGGTAAGCTTTTGGTTTTATTAATTTATTACCACTGGGGCCCGCCGGTGTAACTGCTAAACTGATTGCTACTGAGTACAATTTACTGCATGATTGTAGCGGGTTTACTAACGTGTTAGTTCTAGTAGCTATGTTGACTATGACGTGACAACGATGTAGGCTGTTTGTAGCAGTTAGCGGTCATGATATGAAGGTTTGGTTTGGCAAAGTTTTTTCGCCTGGTCACAGACAGCTGATGTGTAGTCCACTGAAGTCCACAAGCAAAGGGAAAAGGTGAGAGGAGAGAACGTAGATAGATGCGAGAAGGAATTATACAGTTGAAGTCGGAAGTTTACATACACCTTAGCCAAATACATTTAAACTCAGTTTTTCACAGTTCCTGACATTTAATCCTAGTAAAAATCCCCTGTCTTAGGTCAGTTAGAATCATCACTTTATTTTAAGAATGTGAAATGTCCGAATAATAGTAGAGATAATTATTTATTTCATCTTTTATTTCTTTCATCACATTCCCAGTGGGTCAGAAGTTTACATACACTCAATTAGTATTTGGTAGCATTGCCTTTAAATTGTTTAACTTCGGTCAAACGTTTCGGGTAGCCTTCCACAAGCTTCCCACAATAAGTTGCGTGAATTTTGGCCCATTCCTCCTGACAGAGCTGGTGTAACTGAGTCAGGTTTGTAGGCCTTCTTGCTCGCACACACTTTTTCAGTTCTGCCCACAAATGTTCTATAGGATTGAGGTCAGGGCTTTGTGATGGCCACTCCAATACCTTGACTTTGTTGTCCTTAAGCCATTTTGCCACAACTTTGGAAGTATGCTTGGGGTCATTGTCCATTTGGAAGACCCATTTGCGACCAAGCTTTAACTTCCTGACTGATGTCTTGAGATGTTGCTTCAATATATCCACATAATTTTCCTTCCTCATGATGCCATCTATTTTGTGAAGTGCACCAGTCCCTCCTGCAGCAAAGCACCCCCACAGCATGATGCTGCCACCCCATGCTTCACGGTTGGGATGGTGTTCTTCGGCTTACAAGGTACCCCCTTTTTCCTCCAAACATAACGATGGTCATTATGGCTAAACAGTTCTATTTTTGTTTCATCAGACCAGAGGACATTTCTCCAAAAGGTTTGATCTTTGTCCCCATGTGCAGTTGCAACCGTAGTCTGGCTTTTTAATGGCCGTTTTGGAGCAGTGGCTTCTTCCTTGCTGAGCGGCCTTTCAGGTTATGTCGATATAGGACTCGTTTTACTGTGGATATAGATACTTTTGTACCTGTTTCCTCCAGCATCTTCACAAGGTCCTTTGCTGTTGTTCTGGGATTGATTTACAAAAGTACGTTCATCTCTAGGAGACAGAACGCGTCTCCTTCCTGAGCGGTATGACGGTTGCGTGGTCCCATGGTGTTTATACTTGCGTACTATTGTCTGTACAGATGAACGTGGTACCTTCAGGCGTTTGGAAATAGGTCCCAAGGATGAACCAGACTTGTGGAGGTCAACAAAATAATTTCTGAGGTCTTGGCTGATTTCTTATAATTTTCCCATGATGTCAAGTAAGGAGGCACTGAGTTAGAAGGTAGGCCTTGAAATACATCCACAGGTACACCTCCAATTGACTCAAATTATGTCAATTAGCCACCAGAAGCATCTAAAGCCATGACATAATTTTCTGGAATTTTCCAAGCTGTTTAAAGGAACAGTCAACTTAGTGTATGTAAACTTCTGACCCACTGGAATTGTGATACAGTGAATTATAAGTGAAATAATCTGTCTGTAAACAGTTGTTGAAAAAATTACTTGTGTCATGCACAAAGTAGACGTCCTAAACGACTTGCCAAAAACTATAGTTTGTTAACAAGAAATTTGTGGAGTGGTTGAAAAACGAGCTTCAATGACTCCAACCTAAGTGTAACTTCCGACTTCAACTGTATATACAACGAGCTGTTTGTATGTGTCTGGCATGAAAGTGAAATGTGTTTGCGTGTGATCAGGGGTGTATTCATTACGCCGATTCTGTTGAATGTCTTTTCTTAAAAGGAAGCAAACGAAACGGGGATAAACATACCTGAATTTGTCCAATAGAAACTCTTGTTTGCAACTGTTGGACTAATGATTACACCCTAGATCAGCTAGATGCAGGCAAGAGTGTGCAAGGCGGTATTGAATGTGTCACTGTCTGTAACCTTGATTACTCAAAATTCTCTCGACCTGTGCACCTAAGTTGTAAACTTTCATTCACAGGCTAGGTTGTAGCAAACTCATGATGGGTACAGGGAAAATTCTAGTATCATGTAGTAGCCTAAACCTATCGATGTTACATTGAGCTGGGTGAATGGAACATGAATGACAGTCATCCAATATGCTGTAATAGAAATAAGGCCAAGTTAATTTTTTTAAAGTATCATCCTCCCACATCTTAAACGGCACCGACCGCCACTGACTAAGAACCTATATGGTTTTGTACCAATACTCAAGTAATGCTTCTGTCATTTTTCAACCAGGAAGGGAGTGGACAAACAGGAAGCCGTGAAAGAACCTGGAGAAATCGATGAAAGGTTCTGGGAAATCATCATGACTGCAGACAGAAAGGATTATGAACGAATCTGTGCTGAGTTTGGTGTCAAAGACTTCCGTGTGATGCTGAAGAAACTCAATGAGAAGAAAAAGGAGCGAGAGGAGGAACAGGCCAAGGTTTGAGAATTGGGCACATTCAGTATGTGCAAAACTTCTTCTGTGTGTACTGTTTCTGGTCACATAATGTAGCTAATGGACTGTGTGAAAACCTCTTTGACCACTATGAACCTCAGGGTTCATAATGTCTCAAAGGTGGCACTGATTAATTTGAGTGTAACCAGTTAACTACATTAAGTCATTGTGGCAATAGCCTTAACCTATAATTTCATCCTCATGATTTTAAACTCCATTTCTCTCCCCTCCCTCTCATCCATTATTTTCTCTCCACCACTTTCCTCATTGTGATCTTCCAAACCATCTGCCATCCTTTCCTCAGTATATTGAGACCATCAGTAACCTGAAACATATTGATATTAAAGGAGTAGGCATTGCTTCGTTTGAGTTTGACCTTGAGCTCAAAGACCCCGCCAGTAGGATTTTCCTCTACAAGGTGAGACATCTAAAAGTTGACCTCTGATTCAGTTTCCACATGAGGCAAAGGTATCATTATACATAATTTAGCTTTTATCTCAACTTACACAACAATTTTATCATTCAACGTTGTACAGCATTCTAATGGATGACTACTGCCTTACAAGAAAGACTGACGTTGCACAATTAGAACAGAATGTGTCACTGTCTTTCTTGTAAGGCAGTAGTATCTCCTTTAAAGTTCTGCCCATCACCCAAAGTTCCGGGCATAGAATTACATTTTCTTTGGTTCCAGAGTAACTTCATCCCCTGTTATCATCTTGCCATCATAATGGAACACATCCATGTCAAAACATGTCAATAGTCATACATCCCATCAACTATGAGGATTTTCGTTATTTCATAAAAAAAAAAAAAATTATGAACTCAATTTCAAGTCATATCTGATAGTAGCTGTCACTGTGTGCAACTCCGTATCATCTTGCAGGATGGTGTAATGATTCCCTACAGTGATGAGGAAGATATGAAACACAGCTTAAAGACTGTTGGGAAGAAGTTCATATTCAGTGTGCGGGACCTTAAGGCAGAGGATGCTGGGCTCTATCAGGTGGATGTTGAGGAGGTCAATCTCTTCTCTACAGACTTCAAGTGTAAGATGACAACAGAATGATTATGAATAACATTCCTTTTTGATAGAAGATAAAAAACGTTCTTTATTTCTTAACATGACCTTGCTCCATTTGCCCTTTTCATTCCAGTTTCCACAGTGGATTTCATTGTCAAGATCCAGGAGGTGAAGGCCAAAGAGAGAGAGGATGCTATGTTTGAGTGTGTCCTGTCACATCCCTGCCCCAGAATCAAATGGATGGGCAAGAACGCCACTCTGGAGGAGGGAGAGAAATACACTATAACTGTGTCAGAAGACAAGCTGATACACAGACTGCTAATAAAAGACTGTAGCCAGCTGGACAAGGGCATCTACTCTGCTGCGGCAGGAATCAAGACATGCAGTGCCTGGCTGATAGTGGAAGGTAACATGACATCTTCATATCTTGCACAATATGTAATTTTTCAGATGAAGGAAACAGCAGAGGGGTTCATTTTTGGTTGAACAACATATACTATGTAGTTTCACCTCAGTAACTCAGTTCTGGTCTCATGACAAATTTGCGAGGTACTATGTCTTCTCAACACTTATCGAAATGTTCCATATCAATAATCTCTCTCTCTCTCTCTCTCTCTCTCTCTCTCTCTCTCTCTCTCTCTCTCTCTCTCTCTCTCTCTCTCTCTCTCTCTCTCTCTCTCTCTCTCTCTCTCTCTCTCTCTCTCTCTCTCTCTCTCTCAGCTGACAGCGATCCTGCTTCCCATGGTAAAAAGAAGTCCCGTAAAACAACCCAGGCTGGTGGAACAGGGTTGGATCTGGGGAAACTGGCTCAAGAACAGCAGGAAAAACTGGCGAAGGAAAGGCAGGAGAGGATCGACGCTGCAAACAAGGCCAGAGTGGAGGAGGAGGAGAGGTTAGCCCGAGAGGCACTCCTGGCTCCCCCTCCTCCTGATACTGGGGATAGAGACAGTGGGGAAGGCAAAGACACCGGAGATGGAAAGAACAAGTCTAAAAGTGGATCAAACAAATCCAAAGATTGTGGCAAATCAGTTGACGAATCAGTTGGCAAATCAGTTGGCAAATCAGTTGGCAAATCAGTTGGCGAATCAGTTGGCGAAATGAAAGACTCTGAGAAGGAAGGAGATGACAAGAAGAACAAGAAATCCACTGATGATTCTGACAAAGGCAAAGGTAAGACAAAATGAAAAAAGTATTTGATCCCCTGCTGATTTTGTACGTTTGCCCACTGACAAAGACATGATCAGTCTATAATTTTAATGGTAGGTTTATTTGAACAGTGAGAGACAGAATAACAACAACAAAATCCAGACAAATGCATGTCAAAAATGTTATAAATTGATTTGCATTTTAATGAGGGAAATAAGTATTTGACCCCTCTGAAAAACATGACTTAGTACTTGGTGGCAAAACCCTTGTTGGCAATCACAGAGATCAGACGTTTCTTGTAGTTGGCCACCAGGTTTGCACACATCTCAGGAGGGATTTTGTTCCACTCCTCTTTGCAGATCTTCTCCAAGTCATTAAGGTTTCGAGGCTGACGTTTGGCAACTCGAACCTTCAGCTCCCTCCACAGATTTTCTATGGGATTAAGGTCTGGAGACTGGCTAGGCCACTTCAGGATCTTAATGTGCTTCTTCTTGAGCCACTCCTTTGTTGCCTTGGCCGTGTGTTTTGGGTCATTGTCATGCTGGAATATCCATCCACGACCCATTTTCAATGCCCTGGCTGAGGGAAGGAGGTTCTCACCCAAGATTTGACGGTACATGGCCCCGTCCATCGTCCCTTTGATGCGGTCCATCGTCCCTTTGAGTTGTCCTGTCCCCTTAGCAGAAAAACACCCCCAAAGCATAATGTTTCCACCTCCATGTTTGACGGTGGGGATGGGGTGTTCTTGGGGTCATAGGCAGCATTCCTCCTCCTCCAAACACGGCGAGTTGAGTTGATGCCAAAGAGCTCGATTTTGGTCTCATCTGACCACAACACTTTCACCCAGTTCTCCTCTGAATCATTCAGATGTTCATTGGCAAACTTCAGACGGCCCTGTATATGTGCTTTCTTGAGCAGGGGGACCTTGCGGGCGCTGCAGGATTTCAGTCCTTCACGGCGTAGTGTGTTACCAATTGTTTTCTTGGTGACTATGGTCCCAGCTGCCTTGAGATCATTGACAAGATCCTCCCGTGTAGTTCTCGGCTGATTCCTCACCGTTCTCATGATCATTGCAACTCCACGAGGTGAGATCTTGCATGGAGCCCCAGGCCGAGGGAGATTGACAGTTATTTTGTGTTTCTTCCATTTGTGAATAATCGCACCAACTGTTGTCAACTTCTCACCAAGCTGCTTGGCAATGTAGCCCATTCCAGCCTTGTGTAGGTCTACAATCTTGTCCCTGACATCCTTGGAGAGCTCTTTGGTCTTGGCCATGGTGGAGAGTTTGGAATCTGATTGATTGATTGCTTCTGTGGACAGGTGTCTTTTATACAGGTAACAAACTGAGATTAGGAGCACTCCCTTTAAGAGTGTGCTCCTAATCTCAGCTCGTTACCTGTATAAAAGACACCTGGGAGCCAGAAATCTTTCTGATTGAGAGTGGGTCAAATACTTATTTCCCTCATTAAAATCAATTTATAACATTTTTGACATAGGTTTTTCTGGATTTTTTGGTTGTTATTCTGTCTCTCACTTCAAATAAACCTACCATTAAAATTATAGACTGATCATTTCTTTGTCAGTGGGCAAACGTACAAAATCAGCAGGGGATCAAATACTTTTTTTCCCTCACTGTATGTTATGTCTCATTGACTTATTCAAGTCTGTGTAGAACATTTGTTCTTGTTAGTAACACTTTGCGTTAAGGAATACTTACCTAAAATAATTTTAAAGGGTTTATAATTAGTTTATACTATATTATCTATATAAACTAATAATTAACCATTTATAAATGACTTGTAAACCCCTTTATAAATCATTTTAAGTATGTAAAATCAAAGATGCTGAGAAGGAAGGAGATGACAAGAAGAACAAGAAATCCACTGATGATTCTGACAAAGGCAAAGGTAAGACAAAATTATATCTCTATTAAAAACACATTGGACATGTTATATACTGTACTTGAAAAATATGATATAGTCAACTTGGAAAAGTATAAAATAGTATAAACTACTTATAAACCCTTTAAAATACTATGTATAATGGAAATGATAACACATTGGCACAACATCCTACATTAATAGGAATGTACAATATGTATTCAGATGTACTGTATACTGGTTTATGCAATTTTTTAACGATTTTTCAAACTGATATAATAATTACTGACAGGAACATCAAACGATGATATTGACCCAAACGCAAACGGGGATGGCGATGGAGACAGTAAGGGACGTAAGGGGCATACTGGTCCACTTATCCCAGACACAGTCATTGGTAAGAAATACACTGAGACACCTTGGTTACTGCATGGAGGTAGTCTCTAAAATCTCAGATGCATCTTAATGAATTAACAAGTAACCTTAGGATTGCATTAAACGATAAAAACTAAAAAGTGTACAAACTTGATTTTAATTAGTCAACATTTTAACTAATTGTACAGTAATTTAACTTAGAGTAACACGCAGTAATAAACGTACAGTATCTTTGTATTCCACTTGACATCAAGTGATTAACCAGTATGCAGTTTACTTAAAAACAGTTTTAACAAGCAAAATGTATTTTTTAAAACCCTCCTAAAAATAGTAAATATTTCAAATATTGAATCTCATGCATACATTTTTTAACAAGTTCTTCTGTTCACATGTATGTTATCTCTCTGTGACTTATTCACGTCTGTTCGTCTAGAACAGTTTGCTCTTGTTAGTAACTTTTTAAAAACCTGTAAACACTGAGAGGCTGTTTTGGACCTGGTTCCAGGTCCAGACAGTTTGGTTATCCCCACTCCCTGCTTTGGCCATATTCATAGAGTATGCAATGTAGGTCAAGTCACCAAAAGTGCAAACATTTAGTATGTATGGAAAAGGTACACCCTGATGGTCATTGTAAAGCAATGCATTTCTTTCTCCATCCACATGACCTTATATGCATCTTCCACATGCGCTGTTGATCTATTTCACTCGTTTACAATAGCAAAAGTGAATGGGAAAATAAGTTTGAAGTTTCCTCACCTGTCTGTGTCTTATTTAAATTTTTTAAGTGATAACCCGAAAGTCGTGATTGCTATGGTCATTTAAATATGTCAGGCTTGAAAATCCGTTCAGCCATTTTGACACAGTGACACACTACCCAAACCAGACGCAACTGGTTTCAAGAGGCCAAGAGACGTCATGTGATCACCTACTGCTTTCTAGTGGATGAACTGGGAATCAGACAGGGGATATATTTACATCAATGGATAGGTAGAGACTTCAGCTTTCTCCTCGTATGTATATCATTCCTGTAAGAGGATAAATTATTCATGTAAGACGAGAAATTAAGTTGCACAAGCCCTGCACTTTTGAAATGTCTGTGTTCCTATTTATCCTTTTGGAACAGTAATTAGTGACATATTTTATGAAAAAACCTAGACTTTCAAATGTATTATTCCCCAACATTTGACAATTAGAATCCCACAGTTCTTACCTTTCTAACACTACTAAGCATGTAGTATACAATATTATGTGTAGTTTAGAAAATGCCACCAGAGGGCATCAGAGTTGAACAGGTTAAGGAATACTTACCTTAAAGTATTTAAAAAGGTTTATAAGTAGTTTATAAACTGTTGTAGATAGTTTATAAATCTGTAATAAACAGTAATGATACATTGGTGAAAATTGTGCTTCTCATTTATCTGCTAGCCAAATACTGAGCTTATATGACAGCACTGGCTTTACTCACAATAATAATCAATAACATTGCAGTCATATATTAGCTCATTATTTGGCCAGTACCAAAATAACCATTGTGTTATAACTATTTATAACAGAATCATAAACTATCTATGTAAACTACTAATTAACCGTTTATAGACTGCTTGTCAACCCCTATATAAATCATTTTAAGTATGCCTAAATGTAAAGCATTACTGGTTTGCTTGTATGTCCCAGTGTAAAGTGTGAATTTTGTCATATATTGTTATTTGTTACTCTACCGTGTCATCGTTACCATTACAATCATGGAATGGATTGTTTCGTTTCATATTTAACCAAACAAAAAGTAATTATGAAAAGTGTCGGCAGGATTATTCTAACTTTAAGGCCAAACCACAGATCCCAATGCGAAAATGGGGACAGGAGAAACTGAGGAGTACATTGATGTGTCTGGCAAGCGTTCAGTGCACACAAGGCAAGGCCCACTGCTGAAAGACATGGTGATTGGTAAGGGATCACATTTGACGTTGTGCACTGACTGCATGAAGGACATGACGTTCGTACAAATATAACTAAAGTTTGGGAAATTACTTGCAGAAGTATGATACTGACGAGATGATACTGAAATGTTCATTCAAGGGGAATGTTGAATCTAATCATTCATACAGTATCTCAAAATAATCCATGTCTGTTTATTTTTGAGAATGGATGTACAGTATGCAGTCCTCTAACATCAGTAGTATCTTCAATGGAAGATCTATGAAACCTTACTATGTTCCATAGAACTCAAACTAAACTTTACATATCTATAATAATACAAAAAATATCTAATAACTGAATCCCGTAGAGGCTTGTTGTATTGTGTGTTTGTATATTTCTGTCATGCTTTTTGTGTTGTATTCATAAGACTTTGAAAGCGTCCTTGATTTTCAAATACTCAACAAATCATTGTAAAACAAACCATGGAAACAGTATCTGCATGGTAAGACCATTCCAATAACTCTGATACCAGAATCTCCAAGCCAACAGCATGGTTGAGGATCTGTTCATCATGAGAAGATGTCAATAGACACCAACCCAACATCTGTTCTTGTCCAAGTTTAGATTAGAAGACACAGTATTACTTAGAATGACCTCTCCTGCAAACAATTGGTCAAACATGTTTGTCTGTCCACAACTTTGTGCTTACGTCTCTGTGACTTGTTCAAGATTGTTCATATGTGTAGAGCAGTGTTTGTTGGTAACACTTCACATTAACGAATACTTACCTAAAAGGATTTAAAAGGGGTTTATAAGTGGTTTGTAAAAACATAAACAATAAAAATATAATGTACTCTTTATAAACTACTTATAAACCCCTATATAAATCCTTTTAAGTATGCCTTAATGTAAAGCGTTACTGGTTTGCTTGTATGTCCCAGTGTATGTTTTGTTCACAATAATATGTCTGACTGTGTTTTTGTTCTATTAATCTGTATATATATGGCTATTTTGTCACGTATTGTTCATTGTTGCTCTGTCTCTGTTTCTGTCTCATGATATTTAATCAAATGAAAAGTAATTGTGGAAAGTGCCATCAAGGTTGTTATTATTTTTTACGGCCAAACAACAGATCCCAATGCGAAAAGTGGGACAGGAGAAACTGAGGAGGACATTGATGCGGCTGGCAAGCGTTCAGTGCGCACAAGGCAAGGCCCACTGCTGAAAGACACAGTGATTGGTAAGAGACCACACGTGATGTCATACACGTGACATCATGCACTGACTGAATGGAGGAGATGGCAATGGCGTTCACATGAGTGACAAATGTCATTCAAATTTGGGAAATGACTAGGAGAAGAATAACCAATAGTATGATAATTATCTGGAATGGATTTCCATACTCCTATGATAACATCCATAGTATCTTCCTTGTGATGTAATCTTCTAACAAAATTTTACATGATGGGGCTTAAATATATATATGCACTATATTCAGTGCATTCGGAAAGTATTCAAACCCCTTGACTTTTTCCATATTTTGTTCCTTTACAGACTTATTCTAAAATTGATTAAATAAAGCATTTTCCTCATCAATCTACACACAGTATCCCATAATAACAAAGTGAAAACAAGTCTTTAGACATTTTTGCAAATGTATTAAAAATAAAAAACATAAATACCTTATTTACATAAGTATTCAGACCCTTTTCTATGAGACTGGAAATTGAACTCAGGTGCATCCTGTTTCCATTAATCATCCTTGACATGTTTCTACAACTTGATTGGAGTCCACCTGTGGTAAATTAAATTGATTGGACATGATTTGGAAAAGCACACACCTGTCTATATAAGGTCCCACAGTTGACTGTGCATGTCAGAGCAAAAACCAAGCCATGAGGTTGAAGGAATTGTCCGTAGAGCTCCGAGACAGGATTGTGTCAAGGCACAGATCTGGGGAAGGGTACCAAAACATTTCTGCAGCATTGAAGGTCCGCAAGAACACAGTGGCCTCCATCATTCTTAAATGGAAGAAGTTTGGAACCATCAAGACTCTTCCTAGAGCTGGCCGCCCAGCCAAACTGAGCAATCGGGGGCAAAGGGCCTTGGTCAGGGAGGTGACCAAGAACCCGATGGTCACTCTGACAGAGCTCCAGAGTTCCTCTGTGGAGATGGGAGAACCTTCCAGAAGGACAACCATCTCTTCAGCACTCCACCAATCAGGCCTTTATGGTAGAGTGGCCAGGGGAAGCCACTCCTCAGTAAAAGGCACATGACAGCCTGCTTGGAGTTTGCCAAAAGGCACCTAAAGGACTCTCAGACCATGAGAAACAAGATTCCCTGGTCTGATGAAACCAAGATTGAACTCTTTGGCCTGAAGGCCAAGTGTCACGTCTGGAGGAAACCTGGCACCATCCCTACGGTGAAGCATGGTGGTGGCAGCATCATGCTGTGGGGATGTTTTTCAGGGGCAGGGATTGGGAGACTAGTTAGGATCGAGGGAAAGATGAACGGAGCAAAGTACAGAGAGAACCTTTTATTTTTTTGCATTTTTTTAAAGGGTAGACAGCTTTAATATTGCAGATAGATTGTAGCTTCCATCAATATCATTGTCTGCATCACTTCCAATCCCACATATATACAGTGAGGGAAAAAAGTATTTGATCCCCTGCTGATTTTCTACATTTGCCCACTGACAAAGAAATGATCAGTCTATAATTTTAATGGTAGGTTT